TGAGGCTGTACTGCAAGGACTTCGAAGGATATTTATGGAAATCCAAGAGGACGCTTACTTATGATATACCTACCGTTCCATATAGAAAGTGTTGGACTACCTGCAGCAAGGTTTTTACTTCTACAACGCTATTTTGCAACGAGTTATAGGTACAACAAAATTTTTTCACTTTTCGGCCTTTTTCTGTTGTAACAAACTCATGCTTCATGGATTCTAACCCTAACTAGTATCATTCGATATGCAAATAGAAACTCTTTCATATGATTATAAAGATATTGCATTTTACTCTAGCTTGTTTTCAAAAAAGGGATTATAATGACAAAAAATACATTTTATGGTTTTAAAAGTGCCATAACATTAACATGGTAAAATTATCTGTATAATAGAAAACAGAATTATAAAGAGGAAACATTAGGCTTCTTGATGCATTAATTTCACTTGCATAGGAACACTTGTTTGCGAGATATTGCTCCTAAAAGAAAGAAAATCAAGGGTAAATTGTGACAAAAAATTTCAACGAGCCTCTGTCAGCCTAGCAGCAATACAAATGAATGGAGGTTGGGCTACACCCACGCTTCCGTTTCCAATCCCTTTCATTTACTCTAATATCTATGCTTCAATCTGTTCTTTGATATAGAGCGGTTGCAGTGACGTCACTTTTTGACGTCATAATTACTTCCGTATGGCAAAAATTAATGAGCCTCATTCGTTTACAGTAGTAAAGTTGCTTCTTCTATGACTTCTTTTACACAGCACAAGGCAGAAAAGGAGTACAATTCTAGCGGTAGTAAGCAGAAAAGTGGCGATAGCAATAATTACAGGAGTAACAAGGCAATGCTGTGTTCACTTTGGCCGCTTCACTGGTTCTCTATCCGAGGACTTTTTGCTTCCTTTACATCCCTGAGTCCAGGAGAATGAAAGAGCAGCATGAATTAGCCATGCTCATAGTTAAGGAAGCCTTCCAGAAGAGTTTATAGCGCTGTAGAAATGAATGGCAAAGTAGCCATTTTGCCATGCGGAAGTAATTAACTAATTATGACGCATGCTGTGACGTCATATGAAACCGCTCTATTGTTGTTCAGTTCATGCATGGCAACGTAATAGGGGCGGGGCTTAAATTGTATTTTGTGATATCTCCGTAGACTATCATGTACCTAATGTCTTCTCACAGGAAACATGCTCAGTCACATGGAACTTGCTCTTCTTGTGAAGTAAATGGTTTTATAGCTAAGAGAAATTCTGTATTCCTTTTTAGGTGCTAAAGAAAGAAAATGCTTCCTTGAAATCAGAGCTAGAAACTTTAAAGTATCATAAAATAAATTATTATTATTACTTTTGAAGTAGGATTGACTACACTCAATTAATAAAGGAGATGTCAGTTGAGAATTTTAGTGAGACGAGCCAATTTATTAAAAGCTCACATACTCCAGCTGGAGCGACAGGTAGGCCCCTCCCATTTTTGTATCATGTGACCTCATTACAGTTATTAATATTATCTGATGCTCTTGACGGCCAGGTTCAATTGCTATCTGATCTTCAGGTTTATGGGGAGGCACTGGAATATAAGATAAAGTATGTTTAAGAATTCATGTAGTGGAAGTACATCACGTACATGTATTGTTATAGTACTAGTGGTTGGAATTTGTCAATGACTGCCTGATGTGTATGCTCAGTAATGTAATAGGTGAATAATATTATTAAAGCCAAAATCACTACATGTACACTGTACTACCTGTACGTGCATATAATGCTAATGCTACTACATGTACATTTATGAGTAATTTTTAATGGCAAGTAGTATTCTTTGATTAATTTATTTTTTAGAAATAAAGAGCCAATTGCTGAAGATGTAACACATTTGAGAAAGTTAAATCAAAGGCTTAAAAAAGTAAAAACCTTCTACCTTTCTCCTATTCCCCCCTCCCTCTCTCTCTCAAGGTTTCATGTGCCAGTGAAGATGTTGCTCTACCTTTAGTGTATACTGGTGGATTATCAAAGCCACTCACAATATTGGACTCTTTATCTAACAAAGATAATATATCACTGAGAGAAATAGTGAGTACTGATGAGTACATGTGCCAATGTATTGTGTGCTTACTGGGAAAGAATTTAGTGATACATGTACATGTACTTACGTGTATGTTATGTAGAAAGCTTGAATGGATTTCAATCATAAAATTGGATTTTTATGAACATTTTAAGCTACTCAAAAATTGAGTTCAATTTTTTTCCAAAACTTAAAAGATGAAAATTCTTCGTTTTTGTAATTTTATCTGATACATATACATGTAATTATGTTGTAGAAAGTTTGAACTGATTCCGATCAAAATTGGATTTTTTATGAAGTTTTAAAGTTACTCAAAAATCATACCAAAGTCCCTGTACCATAATAGTGCAGGATTATTGGCCAAATTTTACTAAAAATGATGAAGTGAGAATTCTCTGTTTTTATGATTTTATCTGATACATATACATGTACTGATGTTGTGTAGAAAGTTTAAATGGATTCCAATTAGATTTTTACAAATATTTAAATTTATTCAAAAATGGGGCCAAAGTCCCTTTACTATAGTACAGGGTCGTTGGCCAAATTTTGTCAAAAATGACAAGGTGAAATTCTCCATTTTTATTACATTTTCTGATGCATGTACATGTACTTATGTTGTGTAGAAAGTTTGAG